AGAGAGGGAAATGATGATGTAAATGGAAACCATTATCAGCTGAGGAATCTGGATGGAGTCTCTCCCAGATTTTTTTGGATGATTGTTTCAACTTTTCTATTAGTCTGAAGTTATGCTTAATATTTTTGAATAAAAGAATAACACCTGTTTATTGTGGAAAATAAGAATACTGAAAAGCCACAAAGAAAAAGAAAAGTCATGAATAAATGCCCCAAACACAGAGATTCAATTTTAACAATTCGGTACAGGTCTTCTGGGTCACCCCTACTCCACAACAAATTCAGAAAGTGTATCTCAAAATACATGTGTCAGGTGTCATGCTGGGTTCTGAAGATAACACACCACCCTCACATTGGAGGAATCTACAGTCTAGAAAAGTTTCCACTTTATACATGAGTAAGCAGACTAAGCGGGGGGAAAGAGCACTTTGTTAAGGATTATGGACCTCACTGTCTGTTGAATATTTTTGTGTCATTAAGATTCTTTTATGGGGCTGGAAAGATGACTCAGCTCTTAAGATCACTTGTTGTTCTTCCAAAGGACCTGGGTTCAATTCCCAGCACCCACATGTAGCTAAAAACCATCTGTAACTCCAGTTCCAGGGGACCTGACCTCTGTAGGCATTGTATGCATGTGGTGCACTTACATACGTGTAGACAGAACACTCGTGCATATAAAATAAAAATAATAAATAATATACATATATTTTAAAGCTTCTTTTACAATATGATTTTCCAATTTAAAACAATGTTATTTTTAAATAAAATAATGTTCTTGCCAGGGGTCACATGGCTAGGTGACCTGCGTTGGGTTATGTGTTTGGCTAAGCCATTCACTTCCATAAGCATGTACTGAGCTGGTTGTAATCCCAACCACTCCAAAGGCTGAGGCAAGTTTGAGCCAGCCCAGGCAACTTAATGAGTCTCTGCCAAAAAGAAAAGCTGTATTGGATTATTTTGCATCGGGTCCATTTCTGTGCATCTTTGCATGCTGCTTTCACAAACCCATCTGGAGCCAGCATCTGTGCTTTCAGTCCTGGCTGCACACTTCCTAGCAGAGTTACTGCTCCACCTCTGTGTCAGTTTCCTCATCTGTCAATGAAGTAACATCACTTCACAGCGGTGTTAAGAGCTTAAATGAGCTGATAAATACAAAGGAGTTCACCAACTACCTTACCTACAATAACACCTGTCTAAGTGTTTACTCTGATTCAAATAGCAAAATTCTTACCATTGTATGTATGCATGTATTTGTACAGTTTGCCTTTTCAGGAGAGAGAGAGAGAGAGAGACAGAGACAGAGACAGAGACAGAGACAGAGAGGCAGGCAGAGAGAGACAGAGACAGAGACAGAGACAGACACAGAGAGAGAAAACTTCTTAAAAATTGAGAAAGTGATCCAGAAAAAAAGTTGATCAAAAGAACTCAGAACTTATAAATGTAATTATGTCCTTAACTGAATGTTTTCCATTTTGCTTTAGCCAGAAGGGGTCAAAAGGGAAAGTTATGCTGGCGTTACTCTGGACCCTAAGGGAATTTATGGTAAGAAAGATTATTTTGTTTTTTATATGTTGTATTTTTGCTGTAGTAATTAAAGTGTAACTTTATTTATATTTTATTTATTTTTATTTAATATGTACAAATGTATTGCCCGCATGTCGGTAGGTACACCCATGTCATGCAATGCCCCTGGAGGTCAGAAGAGGGCATTGGATTCCCCTGGAACTAGAGTTACTGATGGTTGTTAGTTGCCATGTGGGTGCTAGGAATCAAACTCCGGTTCTCTGCCTGAGCAGCCAGTGCTCTTAACTGCTGAGCCAACTCTCCAGCCCCTTAAAGAGTAACTTTAATGCAACTTAAAACACCATTGCTCAAAATGTTCAGTGGACAGAATCAACACCCACTGTTTCCATCACTACTTTTCTTGATAGCACATGATGCACTATAATCTGGATAATCAAGACCAAAAATAATTCCATTAATTATAAGTACAAAGCATTAAAATGCTAACATGTTTGATTGTCCCTTTTTAAAAACTGAATTTTGTTAAGTGCCACATGGATATGGCAATTTCAGCATGAAAATGTGTGTGTCCTTCAAAATATCATTTGTTTGGATAATCATTGATTTCAGCTATCTCTCCAGTTGTGGGGGAGCAGGACACACACGTGCGCGCACACACATAGCATCATTCAGTTCTACCAGGCTGTTCTTGAGAATACCTGCACTATCAGCACTGCACCAACAGGACTTGAGGGGTCTTTTCTCTGCACCCTTCCCCACAGCTGGCATTTCTCCCCCCGGTGCAGGGTGGCAGTTCTCAGGATGTAAAGTGATGTCTCTATTATTATTTCAACTTTCAGTATTCTGGTTACTCGTGACTTTAAGTATTTCTTCACATATTTGTTGACCTTGGAGCCTCTTACATGCCAATTGTTTATTCACAGTTTTGTACTTTTTAACTTTTCTCTTTAAGTTTTCTTTTGTATTTGTTCTTGATTTTTGTTTGGGAGGTACTTGTTTGAGCAACCATAAACCTTAATGGGCTTTGAACAGGAACTACTTATTCTGATGTAGTAAATACACCACAATGTCATCTTATGGTTGTTTACTTGGAAGGTACCCTTTATGAGGTCTTCCTCTACACTTAGTTCACAAAAGCATTGCTAGGTATTTTTCCCATTGATTTTACAGATTTAACTTTCAAATTACCAACTCAAAGCATAATGTCACAGGGGCCTTTTTATCATGCTCTGACAAGGAGTAAAATGTACTTCCTTAGTAATTAACTATAAATTAACTGGCAGCTTTCCCATCTGGTAGTCAGTGAGGGCAAAAATAGTCAAGACAGGGTTCTTGATAGTGAAGGTGGTGGAGGATCAACTGTAGATGGTCAAAAACAGCCTCTCTGTGCTAAGTATCACGCACTGAGCATTAACCATGTTCCAGGTTCTTTGTATTATTTTTATCCTTACAAAAATCCTTTCAGTACACTATTACTTCTATGTACCTAATGAGTAAACTGAGGCATAAAAAGGTTGGGCCTTCCTTAGTGTCACGTGCATCCTAAGCTCTTTGGACTCCAAGGTCTGTCATTCATACTTCAAACTTCATAAATGCCAGATTCCCCTTTTAATACAGTATCGTCAATGTTTAACAAGAGTTAAATAACAAAGAAGTTTCTTTTTTACAATAGTAATTTTTCAATATATATTTTTATTGAATTTCATGCATCTCAGATAATACATCCTAATCATATTTAGACCCACCTTTCCTATATGCATCCCCCCATAGCCTGCCTGCCAGATTTCATGCATTCTGTCATATATGTTAAAGCCTATAGAGTCAAGTTTATGTCCCCAGATATCTCTCAGTGTGAATTCATACACTGGAGCCTGTTCAGCCTATGTAACAACAAATTTATTGGAATTTTCATTTACTTTAAAATTTTTTTATTTAATTTTGGTGCATTTTATACAATACATTTTGATAATATCTAAATATTGTATTTATTATTCTTATTTTTATGCATATCAGTGTATTGCCTTCATGTATATAAGTGCACCTGTGTTCTGCAATGCCTACAGAGGTCAGAAGATGGCGTCAGATCTCCTGGAACTGGAGTTACAGATTGTTGTTAGCTGCCATGTGGGTGCTGGGAATTGAACCCAGGTCCTCTGAAAGAGTAGCCAGTGCTCTTAACTGCTGAGCCATCTCCCCAGCCCATCTTGATCATATTTTGACCCCCTCCCTTATCTGCACTTTCCCATAGCCCTCCACCAAAGTTTCTTGAGAAGCATTCTTGCATCTCTGCCAAAGCCATGTAGCTTATTCATGGAGTTAAAAAATGTGCCATTTACTTATAGCATCTCCCATTTTTCAAGGACTCTGTTAAGTGCTGGAGGCAGGTTCTCATTGTGACTGCCACGGGCCCTGCAGCAGACCTTCCTTAGTACACATCATACCACCACCAGGACTAGCTCTGGGGCCTTGAATAAGTTACTTTCTAAGCCCAGTTTCCTGATCTATAAAATTACAACAATAAATACAGACCTAGTATATGGTCCTGCTGTGAGGATGCGATGTAATCATGCTTTCAGTGAGTTTAGTGCAGTGCCTGGTACGCCATCAGTATAGTGACAAATAGTTTATCTTTTTTCCCTCTTTTGGAGCTGGCTGTATGTTTCTTTAATAATATTTTTATTTATTCTTTGAGAATTCCATACACATATACAATGTATCTTCTCCCCTCCAACATCCCCCTGGCTCCAACAAGACAGCTCCCTCCCAACTTTGTGTCCTCTTTTTTATCTTTTAAAAAAAAAAATTAGGGATGGAGAGATGACTCAGCAGTTAAGAGTACTTGACTGCTCTTGCAGAAGACTCAGGTTCGATTCCCAGCACCCACATGGTATAACAACCATAACTCCAGTTCCAGGGCCTCTGATGCCCTCCCTCTTCTGTCCTCTGCAAGCACTGCATAACATGAGTGCACTCACATACATGCAGGCATTGCACTCATATACATAAAATTTAAATTAATTCATTAAAAATTTTTAGCCCCCCAAGTCCAATCAGTGATGACTATGTACAAATGGGTATAGGGCCATCCACTGGGATAGGGGCAACCTACCAGTGGCTGAAAATGACTCTCCCTCTCCTGGCAGCCGTCAGCTGCTGATAGAGGTGAGGCCTTGGGAGCCCCTCCTACTATCCATGCTGAAGTCTGTGACTGGCTTGATCTGCCATCTTGTTCAGGCAACCACAGCTGCTGTGAGTGTGCAACAACCCTGTCGTGTCAGAAGACAGCAAGCCACAGTACTCCTCATCTTCTGGCTCTCACATCCTTTTTGTCCCCTCTCTCAAGGTGCTCCCTGAGCCTGGGGGGGGAGCTTGCTGTAGAAGCTCCATCCCTGTCTGGGCGGTCACAGTCACTTACTCTCACCACTTTAACAATTATGAATGAGTCCCTTCGTTAACCACTAAAATGGTTTTATGGCATAAAACAGGAAGTGATTATAATAGAAAAGTTCTCTGACACTGATATTCTAAATATTGTTGTATGCATAGAGAAAAGGTGTTTAAGTTAAACTAGAAAGGGAAGGCAGAAAGAATTTCAGGTCATGTTTCCCAGTGGAACCAGTGTACAAATCACCTTGCAGAAATTATACACTAGTTATTTTAGATTTCAATTCTAGGGAGATCTTACTGTCTTTGGGGAAATGGCACGCTACTTTATGCTGGTGGAAAAAAGTGATATAACCTATTTATTTTATATCTTATTTATTTTATAAGCGTACCACAAAATGTAATGTTTTATTTTAAGAGATTATACAATTCTAGGATTTGATTAAAATCCTTCACAATTTTTCTTTTGTTTTAAAATGTTAATAGTGTTATTATAAAAGTATCTTATTTTGGCTGGGCGTGGTGGCGCATGCCTTTAGTCCCAGCACTTGGGAGGCAGAGGCAGGCAGATCTCTGTGAGTTCAAGGCCAGCCTGGTCTACATAGTGAGTTCCAGGACAGCTGGGGCTACAGGGAGACCCTGTCTCAAAAAGACAAAAAAAATTATCTTATTTTGAAAAAGTCTTTGGCAATAGATATATAATCTGAAAATAGTTATTTCCCCTAAGAACTCTGTATAAATCTAATCTTTTTTTTTTTTAATTACAGGTATTGTTAGCAGACGAAAGGAGTTCCCATACAGGATTCCATTAGACTTGGTCCCCAAAACCAATGTCAAAAGGATTTTGAGTGTAAAAGGTAAATCAACAAATCCTATTCAAGACTGGGTATGTAGCTCATTTCCTAAAGTGACTGCTTAGCATGTAGGAAGCTGTGGGTTCAGTCCCCAGCACCACACAAACTAAGCATGCCTGTAATTCTGACATTTGGGAGGTAGAAGCAGGAAAGTCAGAAATCCAGGGTCACCTCCATCCACATAGTGAATTAGAAGCCTGGCCCACTTTGTCTCAAATACAAACAAATAAATAAATCTCATTGTTATTACCTTTTCACTTTGTGCTTTAAACCAAAATCAGATATGCTCATGATTATTCTTTCTCTGTTTTTCTGCATCCACACAAGTATCATTCTTTGAGAAAACCTATCTCCCATTCCCCCACCTTCAAACACAAGATCACTGGATCTATCATTTCCCCCACCTTCAAACACAAGATCACTTTTCCAACTGTCTTCATCCACTGACCTGATATAATTGGAAATGATTCTCCTATGATGGAGCAATGCCTATCTAAGCACAAATACTTCTTTAGAATGGGGTGCAGCAGCTATAACACATAAAGAAGTTCCCATGGTCTTAGTAGTCGGTCCTATACCACTGAAGGCTTTGTGACCCACAGTTGGCCCCTGAGATGCCAGCACTGCACTACCAAAGTACTAGTCCTGGGGGAAGGGGTGTTCATTCCATTTATGCTGCTGTAATGCAATACCTGAGTCTGGGTAATTTATAAAAGATGGAGCTTTAGTTCTCAACATTTTAGAGTTTGGGAAGTTCAAAATCAAAGTGATTCATTGTCTGGTGAGGGTTGTTTCCTGATTTCCCACATGCTGTCTTGTGGCAACATCATCACATGGCAGAGGGCAGAAGGGCAAAATGTCAAAAGGGGGGTAAATATCTCCCCATTCCTCTTTCATAAGATCATTAATCTCACTCATAAGGACCAAACCCATCACCTTGATGATTAGGTCAGCACAGGGATTGTGGAGGGACAGATACATTCAAATGGATCAGGACTTCTCTTTCCTCCAGGATTTTTACAGAAGAGGCAAATTTGGTGGGTTTCCCTGGTTTCCAGTCTTTACAACACAATAACACATCACCAATATGATAAAGTGTCCTGGCTACATTTTGTCTTTGCTAAAGCATTGGACTCACAGTGTGTTTGTGCTAGAAAGGCCCTTTTGAGCACATGCAACCCTGGTTGTTGGATTTTTTTAGAAAATTGGTTTATAGCCAGGCGTGGTGGCGCACGTCTTTAATGCCAGCACTCAGGAGGCAGAGGCAGGCGGATCTCTATGAGATCAAGGCCAGCCTGATCCACATAGGGAGTTCCAGGCCACCTGTAGCTTCAGGGGGACCCTGTCTCAAAAAGCACAACAAAAAAATTGGTTTGCCTGAGGTTGCACAGGGAACTGTAGACTCAGGAGTCAACACATTATCTCTTCAGCCTCTCTGCTCTGCTTCATGAGACGATCAGTCAGTGTGGTTCCCAGTGTCTACACCTAACTTAGTTTCCATGCAGTCATCTGTCTATGGTATTACCTTACCTACTACCACAATACAGAATATTCTCAGTCTTTTTTTCCCTCTTAAATTCTGGTCCCTAATCAAATCTCCTTTCTCCCCCAATTTCTGTGAAGCAGATTAAACTGCTTAGATTAAAAATGGAAGAATAGAGATAGTTGTTCTTCCATCTTTACAATAGACTATTGGAGGCTGGAGAGATGGCTCCAATAACAAGTGGTTAAGAACACTTGTTACTCCAGAGGACCCAGGTTTGATTCCCAGCACCCACATGGCAGCTAACAACTATCCACAACTCCAGTTCCAGGGGATCTGACACTCTTCTGGCCTCCATGGGCATTGCACACACATGGTGCTCTTACATACATACAGGCAAAACACTCATACACATAAAATAAAAATAGTAAAAATAATAAAAAATATTTAGAGCACACTGTTGGAAGCTGACAGAGTGGTTGTGTCTAATTTGTGTCTAATTTGTGTCTTTCTGTTTCAGGGCTACTTATTGGTGAAGTCCTGTCTGCAGTTGTGAGTAAGGAAGGCATTGATCTCCTAACGCATCTCCCCAAGGGTAGTGCCGAGGCCGAGCTGATGAGCATCATCCCAGTATTCTATGCTTTTCACTATCTGGAAGCAGGAAACAACTGGAACATTTTTTATCCTGATTCATTAACTAGAAAGAATAACCTGAAGAAAAAAATAAAAGAAGGTAAGAAATATTTTATACAACAATCTAGAGGTTTTAAGCAAATATTTTAATTAATATAATATGTTGCTATGAATTACATATATAATTAATTGTAAAAACATGTTGGCCTAAAAACAATCATGAGAGACACTCTTTCTGTAGTATTTTGTCTTAACTTACAAAAATGCCTGGATGAGAAACCAGACACCTGCCTTCCAAACTGCAAAGCACTTCCTTCCTCTTTGAATGAGAGCAGGGTGGTCTATAATGACTCCCAAGTCTAGTCATTCATATACTTCTTTTGAGGAGTTTGATGTTGGCCACAAAGTATGTTTGCTGCTCAATACCAAAGATAATTCATTGCCCCGGGGGCTGATACACATCCTCAGAGAAGTGGGAGTTAAGTGAAGTACTGTGCTTTTGTTTTTTCTGGTCCCTCTTAGGGATGGTGAGCATCATGTCCTATAAAAACGCTGACCATTCATACAGCATGTGGAAGGGGGGAAGTGCCAGTACCTGGTGAGTAACAGTTTTAACTTATGTTTTCACATGGTGGTTGATACAGTCGTTAAGAATAACAACCATGGGGCCACAAGATGGCTCAGTGGGTAAAGGTGTTTACTGCCAAGACTGACGACCTAAGTTCTGTCACTGGGACCTACACAGTGGAAGGAGACAACTGACTTCCATATCTTGTCCTCCAGATACGTACATATTCTCTCTCTCTCTCTCTCTCTCTCTCTCTCTCTCTCTCTCTCTCTCTCTCTCTCTCTTTCTCTCTCTCTTGATATATAAATAATATATAAATAAATAAATACTTATAAATAAACAAATAAATGCAAGAATAACAACCATACTGGATACTCTCTTATACAACTATACAACCCACATATGACCTAGAAAAGAGGTCTGGCTGCACCTTCAGATATATCCTGGATTTGACCACCTTTCACCAACTTCAGCACATCATCCTGATCCAAGCCAACATCCTCTCCTGTAGTCTTCTGACTTCAGACTTTGGACTTTGGCCCCCTAAGTCTGTACTCCACACAGAAACTGGAGCGGCTCTGTTAAAACATGTCAGGTCACACCACTTAGAACCATTCAGGAGCTTCTCCTCTTCCCCAGGGCGAAAACCAGTGCTTCATTACCAGAGCGCCGAGCTCTGTGCAATCTGGCTCTTCCTAAATTTTCCCCCTTGTTTCCTACGTTTCACTCAAGCCCCGTAGTCTCCTCACTGCTTCTCAAACACACCAGACATGCTTCTACTCAGGGCCTTTGCACTGACCACTCCCTCTGTGTGTCTGGTGTTTATTAAGAGTCACCTTAGTGAGGCCCCTTCTTTATCATCCTGTCTAAACTGCAACCAACCTCCACCTAACAACTATACCTTTCCCCCTCTGTTCCTTGCCCCCTCATCATTTATTGCAAGCCCTTATTTCACTTATCTATGTTCCCCATTAGAATATATGCTATATGTGGGCAGTCCCATGTGTTCCTAGTACCTGGTACATACCAGAGTCTCAATAATTATTTATTCAGTGACGTATAGTTTCCATAATTCTAATCATTTGGAAGAAAGATAGTCTAAATAAAGAATTAATAAAGCAGTCTTTTTTTTCAAAACATGCTATCATGCTTTGACAAAACAATAAAAACACAGTTGGCTGGGCAGGGTGGTGCACACTTACAATCCCAGCAGTGGGAGGAAGAGGCAGAAAGATCATGAGTTCAAAGCCACCTGGGCCACATCACAAGGCCCTGTCTCACAAAAGCAAAAGTCAAAACAAAACTTCCTGGGGTGTGAGGTGCTTTGTAGGCTCTACTGTTTGAAACATACTCAAGGAGTTTACAGGCTGCAATAATTTAAAAGTCTTGACAAGGTCTTGTTATGTAGCCCTGATTGACCTGAAAGTTGTTGTTTAGACCAGCTCTTAATTGCCTCAGTTGCCTCCTGTGCCTCCAGAGTTCTGGGATTACAGGTGTATGCTGCCATGCCCAGCAAGATGTACTAATAGAATTTTAGCTTTTGCTTAGAACGTCATCCTTGACCTCTTCTTTCCTGTAATCTCTCCTATACAGTCTCATCTTTGCCTATGACCTCCATCACTTCTATGCTGATGTCTCCCTAATCAATGTCCTGAGACCTAACTTCTCTCCTAGGCTCTGGATCCGTATTTTGAGGGTTCTGTGACCAAGGCCTTCAAACACAATGGATGCCGAATTCATTCTTTTCTTTATCAAACATGTTTCTCTGTCTCCTCAACCAGTGCACAGCAGTGCTCTATACCTTATCCTCCACCAATCAAATCAGAATGATCAGTTGGTTTTTTACCTCTCCTCTTTCCTTTTAGTTCTGTACCCCATGAATCACCAGGTGCCACAGACTATTCTTTACAATTGAGTCTAAACATATGTGGGTGGCTCACTTTTTAATATTTTATCTATTATTTTTATTTTATGTGTATAAATGTATTGCCTGCATGTATGTGCGTAAGTGCACCCGTGTCGTGCAATGCCTGTGGAGGACAGAGGAAGGTGCCGGATTACCTGGAGCTGGAGTTATAGATACTTGTTAGCTGCCATGTGGGTGCTGGGATTCAAACCTGGGTCTTCTGTAAGAACAGCCATTGCTCTTAACCACTGAGCCATCTCTCCAGTCCCCATGGGTGGCTCATTTTAAAAGACCCATGTGGAGTTTGAGAGGTGACAGTAGAGCACTTGCTGCACAAGCAGAGGACCTGAGTTCGAGTCTCCAGAACCCATGCAAAGCCAGGCATGGCAGCACTTGTCTCTAATCCTAGTGCTCCTTCAGGAAGATGGAAGGCAGAGACAGTGGAATCCCAGGAAGCTCAAAGGCCAACTAGCCTAGTGTAAGCAGCAACCAAGAAACCCTGTCTCAAGCAAGGTGGACAGGATAGACTGACACCCAAGGTGGCCCTCTGGCCTCCACACTCATGCCATGGCATGTTTGCCTACATTCACATAAACTCACACACACACACACACACACACACACACACACACAAGTAGGGCATGCCACACAGATGCTGACCACCAACATGCAGGTAAGGGTGAGGCCAGTGCAGACCAGAAATCACTGCAACAGGAACTGGGAAATGATGCCTAGAGAACTGAGTTCCTTTTCCCGATTCTCCCTCTGGGGACGTCACAAGTTGATTTTCTGTTCTGCTGACTTTCAGAAGAAATGGGAGGAGCAAGTAGAGAGACAAGTCCAAAGTAATATAAAAAGTGATGTTTTAAATAATCTGTAAGAGCAAAGATTAAGAACAACCTAACATCCCACAAAAAAGTAAACAGCCAGAACGGTTTTATGCATCTGTGGCAGAATGCTTTTATTTAATATATAAAATCATTTGTAGAATGATGAAACCGTATGCTAATATCAATCTCAAAGATATTCTATGGACAGATGTAGTGACATCGGCCTGTAACATCAACACTCAGAAGGCTGAGGCAGGAGGATAGCGATGAGTTTGAGGACAGCCTGAGCCAATAGGGAGTTTTAGGTGAGCAGGGGATACATAGAAAAATTTGTCTCAAAATTAAAAAAAAAAAAAAACCACAGGGAACTGGAAGATGGCTCAGCAGTTATGAGCATGTACTGCTCTTGCAGAGGACCAGGTTCAGTTCCCAACACCCACATCTAGTGGCTCACAACTGCCTGTAACTCCAGCTCCAAGGGATCCTATGCCTCTGGCATCTACAGGCACCAGCGCTCATGTTCACACACACACACATAATTCAAAATAAATTTTAAAAAACACACACAAAAAAGGCCTGGCATGGTGGCATATGCCTTTAGTCCCAGCACTTGGGAGGCAGAGGCAGGCAGATCTCTATGAGTTCAAGGCCAGCCTGTTCTACATAGTGAGTTCCAAGCCAGCTGGGGCTATATAATGAAACTCTGTTTCAAACAAGGAAAAGAGATGAAAAACGAGAACAGAAAAAATTATCAGAACAAAAGATATTTTATTATGTGAAAAAGTTCCACAGACAGGATGATGTAAATATGACTGTTATTTTTAGTGTGATGGAATGCATAGATAGACAAGAAATTTATGTACATGAGTTTACTATTTGGAAGCACATGTTAGCTTGTGTGCTAGCTAACAGTGCTGTGCTATTTACATTTGTTGACTGACTATCTGGAAGTAGTATATGCCTGGTGCAAGGTAACAGGGGACACAGACAAGAGGGAGAATTTTTATTGTTTTTATTATCTATCCTTTTGTGCTTTTGGAGTTTTGAAAGTTTTTTTCCCACTCAAAAATTTTTACTTAAAATGCATTTTTTAAAAATACATGGTGCATGCCTTTAGTCCCAGCACACAGAAGGCAGTGGCAGGTGGATTGCTGTGATATCGAGGCTAGCCTGGTCTACATAGGAAGTGCCAGGCCAGCTGGAGCTACAGGGAGACCCTGTCTCAAAAAAAACCAATAAAATAAATAAATAAATCAGAGCAGCTTATAGTGAAGACTCTTGGACAGCTTAAGAATAAAGGGGTGCTGAGGAGTAAAAGTCCATCCTGCCTGTTACTGTGTAGTGATACCATAGAAACAGACATTGCTTTCTGTCCAAGAGTTCACGATCATTAAAGAGTCCTTGCTGGGTGGCAAGTTCTGAGTCAGGGCAAGAGCTCAAGAGGAAGTGGGAGAGACAAGGAAAAGAAGTCGGGGCTCAGATAGGGATTCAGAGGCCAACTTTGCACACATTTTACAAAGTAGAACTGTGATTTTCCTCTTCCATATCTTGCATTTGTGGATCAGTGCTTTGACTCAAAACTGTTTGCTTCACCTCTGTTTTCTTTAATTTTAGCATGGAATCTTTTTTGTCACTAGGACTCAGTCTTTAGCTTCTGGTCTAACAATGTTGTAATCACCTGTGTTAGTCAAATTTGTTGACTGAATGTTTTGGAGATTTTCCAAATTACCACCCCATACCTGTTACCTTGTAAAATGGAGACTTATTCTGGAATTGTATATCTTAAATTTCTATTTTCTTTTAAAAAATAAGCTTGTAAGAAGTAAAACACTGGGGGCTGGAGAGATGGCTCAGTGGTTAAGAGCACTGATTGCTCTTGCAGAGGACCCAGTTTCGATTCCCAGCACCCACATGGCGGCTACAAACTGTCCTTAACTCCAGTTCCAAGGGAATCTGACACCCTCTTCTGACCTCTGCAGCATTGCACAACATGGGTGCACTCACATACATGCAGGCAATACACTCGTACACATAAAATGAAAATAATAAATAAAAATATATTTTAAAGAAAGAAATAAAACACTGGAATGGAAAGCCAGAAGGGATTCAATATTCCAAATATATATTTGATTTTGCTTTGAAGGTTAACAGCTTTTGCTCTAAGAGTACTTGGACAAGTGGATAAATATGTAAAGCAGGACCAAAATTCAATTTGTAACTCTCTTTTGTGGTTGATTGAGAATTGTCAGCTGGAAAATGGATCTTTCAAGGAAAATTCCAACTATCTGCCAATAAAATTACAGGTAAGGGAATCAATGTGTAAATTCACAATAGTTTAATTTACAGGTTTAAGATTCAACCCCATCCTATCATGGATAAATGAAAAAGAAAGGAAAAAATATATGCAATTGTCCCAGTTTTATTTCTGCTTCTGTGATAAACAGCTTGGCAGAAAGCAACTTAGCGGAGGAGAGGTTTATTTAATCTCACAATTCCAGGTCACAGTCCATCACCACAGGGGAGCCAGGAAAGCAGGAGCTTAAAACAACTGACTACATCACAAAGTCAAGAGCAGAGAGAGAATTGATGCACGTATCCTGATGCTCAGCTCTCCTTACACAGTCCAAGACCCAAGCCCAGGGAATGGTGCCACCCACAATGGTCGTCCCACCTCAGTTAATGTATCAAGTCAGTACCCACAGGCAAGCCCATGGGCAAACCTGATTTTAAGACTCTCTTTCCAGGTGATTCTAAATTGTATCAACTTGACAATCAAAACTAACCAGCACAGCAATCCAGCAAGAAACTCCTCTTGTGAACCAGAAAATAATATATTCGATATATGCTCTCAGTAGAGAAATTCTCAGCCAGCTCACTAGCAGCCAGATGAGTAATATCTTAGACATCTGGAGTAACAAACATTTAATGTACCACAAGATAAACTCTAGCGATCTCATAATAAGTAAAATGCACTAATTTGTCTACCTACCCCATGGTATTAAAACTAAACCTAAAGTTCAAAGCCTTCTTCTGGATCAAGGTTGTGTTATTAAGAGAGACTGAAGTCAACTTGTAGGTGAGGGCAATTGACGTCAATGTTTATTGCAGCGCTATTCACAATAGCTAAGTTATGGAACTAACCTGGGTGTCCAACAACAGAGGAATGGATCAGTATATGTACACAATGGAATTGTTTGTAGCCATGGAGAGCAAAGTAATGCCAATTTCAAGAAAATGTACACAACAGGAAAGTCATACTAAGTGAATTAAGCCAATCTCAGAAAGACAAATACACGTTTTCTCTCATTTTCAATTCCTAGATTTTATATAGATGCATAAAGTTATGTGTATATATATGAATGAAGTAGAAGCAAAACTTTCTGGAAAACAAAGGAGACTAATTGGAGGGGGTGGGTGGAAAAGGGGAAGGTATGGAAGCACGGGGGGTGTTCAACATACCATAGGTATTTGTACAAAACTTAAAAAGTGGATAAATTAATTTATTAAATCAAGTGCAAGTGATAGGGTTAGGGAGATGACTCAGTCAGTAAATTGCCTTCTCCACAAGCATGAGGACCTGAGTTCAGATCTCCAGCACCCACCTAAAAAGTCAGGACGGGGCTACAAAGACAAGTGGATCCTTGAAGCTCACTGGCCAGTCTAACTGAACTAATGAGCTCCAGGTTCTGTGAGAGACATTGTCTCAGAAAATAAAGGTGGAGAGCAATTGAGGAAGACACAAAGGTCAATGCCTCTACAGGCACATGTGCATGCACACACACACACACACACACACACACACACATGCACACACACCACACACACACAGTGAGATGAAAATCGATCTACAAACTTGAATAACAGAAATTACAACATAGCTTCAAGCTACCTCTGCAATATCTTTCTTCTATCACTTAAAATGTTTAAAATTCAGGGCTGGAGAGATGGCTCAGTGGTTAAGAACAGATGACTGCTCTTGCAGAGGACTGGGTTTGGTTCCTAGAACCCACATGGTGGTTCACAATAGTCTGTAACTCCAGTTCTGTGGGTTTTGATGCCCTCTTCTGGTCTCTGCAGACACTACATGAACGTGGTGCACTTAACATACATTCAAACAAAACACTCAAACACATTTAAAAAAATACAAAACTAATTTAATCAAAAAAATTTAAAGAGCCAATAGAATTTTTTTCTGCCTATTCCAATCCAATCTCTTTCATATCTGGTATTAATTACCTTCATGACTCAAAGCAGGTCTTATGATGAGCCTTTGTTGTACAGGAGGAGACTGGGGTTCCTGTAACACCCCAGAGCACCTGGCATGATAGTGTTACTTAAAGAATATACTACTATAGGGGCTAGAGAGATGGCTCAGTGGTTAAGAGCACTGGCTGTCCTTGCAGAGGACCTGAGTTCTGTTCCCAGCACCCACATGTCAGCTAACAACCATCCTAACTCCAGTTCCAGGGGATCTAACACCCACTTCTGACCTCTGCAGACATTGTGTGACACAGGTGCACTCACAGACATGTAGGCAATATACTTATACACATAAAATAAACAAAATAAAATTTTTTTTAAAGAATATACTACAATAACAGCTTTTCATAAGATACCCATCCGTGTACCCATCTGCACTCATTCAGCAGTTACTCAGTGAGCACCTAATACATGAGAAGACACTGTGGGGAAGAAGACTGGACCCCACACAGTATTCCTATCACAAGGGAGCGCATACGCTGGTAGAGAAGGTGGAGCGTGGGTGCTGTCATAAACTCTATCAACTCAGTTTGAACGTATGTGTGTGCTCATTAATTCATCTAGTCAGTGTCCACTGTATACATGTGACATGATAGATGGCAAGGATGCAGTGGTGAACAGAACACATGTTATGACCAAGGCCACAGAGCTCAGGGTCTAGCAGAGAAAACATTAAGGCTTTTCAAGTGTGTAATACATGTTAGGAAAAGAGAAACCCAGTTTCATTGAAAGCAGATAATCCAATCTAGATTGAAGGAGCTAAAAAGTTGAGTTACCTGTGCAACTCCTTGAGATGTAAGAGGGACATGGGAACAACACTCCGAGTCAACAACATGCCTTGAAGTTGTGTGTGTGTGTGTGTGTGTGTGTGTGTGCGTGTGTGTGTGTGTGTTGCCTGCAAATATGTAAATGCCTGCAGAAGTCAGAAGAGGGTGTCAGATTCCCCTGGAATTGGAGTTCCAGACAGTTATTAGCTGCCTGCCATGTAGGTGCTGGGAATCAAACCTGGGTCCTCTGCAAGAGCAACCTTAACCACTGGGTCATCTCTCCAGCCCCCAAGATTTTTACTGTTAACATAGTTCTCCTTTTTACTGAAATCAAAACTAACTCTCTCTCTCCCTCTCTCTCTCTCCCTCTCTCTCTGTATATGTGTGTGTGTATAAAATGTTTTGAAATACACATATATATTATAAATACATATACATGGTGTTAATGGCTGGTTGAGCTAATTAACATGTGTATTAACTCACGTAGCAAATTTTAAGTACTACACAACACTTTATTACTAACTACAGTCACTATGATGTACAGTAGATCTCCTAAATCTCCTATACCTTTATTCTTCAAATCTAAGTGAAATTTTATGTTTGATCCAACATCTCCCCAGTCCTCTTAAACCTCTAGTCACTCTTTCTGTGAATTTGGCTTTTATAGATTCCAAACATAAGCAGTATTTGTCATTCAGTGTCTGGATTATTTCACTTAGCACAAAGTCCTTCAGGTCCATTCATGTGGTTTCTCTCACATTTAAGGCAGTATAGTATTCCTTTCTGTATATGCAGTGTCTTTTTTTATCCACTGATAGACACTAAGCTCAATTCTAAATCTTGCTATTGTGTTCAGCACCACAATGACTGTGGGCGTGAACATGTGTCTTTGTGATCCTAACTTTCTTTCTCCTGGATACTACTCAACTTTCTTTCTCCTGGATATACTCAATGGTAGGATTGGTATATCTGGTAGTTTTCTAATTATTTTTAAGGAACATCTGTACTGTGTTCCTTAGCAGCTGTGCTGATTTGTGCACAGTGCACCGAGCTTCTCTCATCTCCTTATCCCTGACAACATTCACCTCTTGTCTTCGTCATGGCCATGCTAACAGTGTGAGGTGGCACCCCCTCCCCGCCTTGTAATTTTCTGTTTGAATTCCAGAGTCAGGAAGAGGGAAAGAGAGGAAAAGGGGGAGAGAAGGAAGAAAGGGAGAGAGAAGAGAGATCAAGATTCATTCAAAGAACTGGAGCCAAAAGAGTTAGACCGTGATTGCAGTGATTGGCATGGAATAGGGCTGGAGAGGCAGAACGACTCCAGTAAGGATCTCAGATCGTCCCTGCCCAAGAGGAAAAGAAAAAGTAGGGCGAACAGAGACAGGAACTGAGCAGTGCCTCACAGAGGATGTGGCATATTAACAGGATCTTGAGGAAAGGAAGAATTTGAATGCCGTGAAGAAGCATTAGCTGGGGCTGGGGTGACGGTAGGGGACACTGGCTGGGGAGGGCGCTCAGGTGGGGCTGGGGTGAGGGTGGAGCAGACCGGCTCCTGAAGACACTCGGTGCTCACTGGGAAATAGTGGTCATCTAGAGTGCATAAAGGGAAACAGGGAGCTGATCTCAAACAAAGAATTGAATCAAATTATTTTACTTTGAAAACATTTTACCCTTCTTTTAAAACATTGTTTATTTTAGGGTACCTTACCTGTTGAAACCCAAGAGACCACTTTGTATCTTACAGCTTTTTCTGTGATTGGAATTAGAAAGGCTTTTGATATATGCCCCCTGGAGGTGAGTATGAGTTTTCTTTCTCTAGCACATACTTAAGAGTAGGTGGGGCTCACCAACTAGAATACTCTTTATTTCAAAAGTTCCTTTCCCTTTTTTTTCACATTACCTGAAAATAACTTTAATACCAGAATCAAAGGGTTTCAGAACTGTGATGGGAGTTAGATCACCTAGTCCAACCTGTAGATCCATCCACAGCTGTATACAAAGATGAATTCAACTGCTCAGTGTCACAGACTGCCCAAGTGTAGAGTTGAGACAACTGGGACTGTGATGGGAGAATAATCCAGTGCTCCTAGCTTCCTCTAAATCCTACCGTCCTAGTTTGCTCTCTGTTTCTATGATAAAACACTGACCAAAACCAACTTGAAGAGAAAAGGCTTATTTTAACTTACAGATTATATAGCCCATCATCCATTTAGGAAAGCCAGGGCTAGAACTCAATACAGGAACCTGGAGCAGGAACTGAATCAGATACCATGGAGGAACGCTGCTTACTGGCTCACTTCCCCTGGCTTGCTCAGTTACCTTTCCTGTACAGCCCAGGCCCACCTGCTTAGGAATGGCACTGGACATAGTAAGCTGGGCCCTAATACATCAATTAGCAATTAAGAAAATGCCTCACAGGGCTGGAGAGATTGCTCAGTGGTTAAGAACACTGACTGTTCTTGCAGAAGACCCAGGCTCAAATCCCAGCACCCACATGGCACTAACAACTGTCCATAACTCCAATTCCACGGGATCTGACAGCCTCGTCTGTCCTCCACAGGCATTGCACGACATGGGTGCACTTACCTACATGCAGGCAACACACACATACACATAAAATAAAAATAATAAACCCAGCGTGGTGGCGCACACCTTTAATCCCACCACTCGGGAGGCAGAGGCAGGCGGATCTCTGTGAAGCTCCATGGCATTGCACAACACAGTTACATTCACATACATGCAGGCAAAAATAAATAAATAAATAAATAAATATAATAAATAATTTTTTGAAAAAAAAAGAAAGAAAATGCCTCACAGACATGGCTACAAACTAATCTGATGCAGGGAACTCCTCAATTGAGGTTCCATCTTCCCAGGTGACTCTAGTTTGTATCAAGTTGATAAAAACTAGCCAGCGTACCTACTATGTGTACACTGATGCAAAATTCAATAGTTTAGAGACTCTTTAGCATCCAAATAATGAGGACACACAATCACAATTTTACTTCCTTGGACTGTGCAGTTTGGTTTGCTTGGATTTGAGGGAGTGAAGAGAAAATACACCTACATAGATTAACATAGAAGCTGCCAAAGGTGGGCACTGGGAGATGGCTCAGTCCATAAAGTATTTGCCATGAGAGCATGAGGACCCAATTTCAGCTCCCCAGAACCAACATACGAAGCAGTGCATGGCACAGCTGCCACACCATCATGCCTGTAATCCCAGCACTAGGGAGGTGGAGACAGGAGGATCGTGTCTCATAAAACTAGGTGAAAAGCCATAAAAGATACCCAATGTCAATCTCTGGCCGCTACACACATGTGCATACATGTGAATATGCATCCACACGTCAATTAATTTTAAAAGAAGCTTCCAGAGGTTAACAGAGATAATGCCCCATTGTGGAAAGAGCTTGATCCTTGAGCTGAGGTTAAGTACTCCAATGCACAAAGCTGAAGTCAACTAGACAGGTCATTCAAACCAGAATCCAGAACTGAGATGGCTAAACTTAAGGGTATTTGCAGAAATTGAACCACAAAAATAAAACCATTTCTTTTGTTGTTGTTGTTGGTTTCAGAACCACTGGTATCTACACTTAAAAGAAAATAGTGAACAACAGAGACCTGTTCCCAGGGGTCCAGCTGTACTAGTGGACACATGAGACATGGGTGGAGCTGGGAGGGACTCAAGGCAGAATGCTAACAGGCTTTCCCTGACCCATCACCCACACCAGCTCTCTAGCAACCTCAGCACAAAGTGACAGGGACTCTGTCCCCAGGCATTCAGAGTCACAAAGTGCATCAGCATCTGTGCCCTCCTTTTGCTGATACACTTCTGTGATTTTTCTCAGTGTAATCCTTTTGAATGTGTGGGTCTGTCTCAGCTATGCTGACACACAATGAGAATCCTGTGTGTTCGGTGCTTCTTCACAGGGCCTGTGCCTGGTGACAGAATCAGAAACTCAAGGTTCAAAACCTCCCCAGGAAAAGTGGGAATGCAGAGGCCAAGTGTAGCCCAATTTGGACGACCACATGGTTTCTTCTGAAATAATCTTTGCCCCATCTCTTAAAGAATTTTCTTTGTTGATTGTATCCACATGTCTCCAGGGTCCTCTTTCCACCCTTCAACTCACCTGTGACCTCAGGGATGCTTCCATAGCTGATAGGCTGATGTTGGACAAAGAAAGTTAGTTTTCTTCTGCTCTTGTTTCCAGAAAATCAGCACTGCGCTAACTAAAGCTGACTCCTTCATGCTTGAAAATGCCCTCCCATCCAAGAGCATCTTCACACTGGCCATTGTGGCCTATGCTCTCTCCCTAGGAGACAGAGCACACCCAAGTTTTCGTTCAATCGTTTCAGCCCTGAAGAGGGAAGCTTTGGTTAAAGGTAGGACTCATTCCATATGGCTGCTAGTGATTACTAAACACTTAGAGTCTGTGCTGTGATACTAGAAAGTAGGTGGTATAGAAGGCCGAGTAAGATGCTCTCCTTGCCCTCCAAGAACAAACCATCACACTACAATGCAATAAATCCTGTTATTCATTCATTTGTTTATTCAGCAAATATGCATTCATTCATTCAACACCTAAGTATTGAGCATCCTATGGATTCTTCCTATATGCCAGGTACTGTTCTATACTCAAGGAATAAATCAACAAATAAACCAGACCAGAATAGATCTAAGTTGGATGAGTGTGGTAGTGCACACTAGTAATTCCAGCACTCAAGAGGCTGAGGCAGGGGGATCCAGAGTTCCAGATCAGCTTGGGCTATGTGGTGAGACCTTGTCAGAGAGAGAGAGAGAGAGAGAGAGAGAGAGAGAGAGAGAGAGAGGAGAAGAGAGAAGAGAGAGAAGGAGGGAGGGAGCAGAGAGAGAAAGAGAGAGAGTAACTGAGAGCAAGAACAAGAAAGTGAGAGAACGAGAGGAAGGAAGGAAGGAAGGAAGGAAGGAAGGAAGGAAGGAAGGAAGGAAGGAAGGAAGGAAGGAAGGAAGGAAGGAAGGAAGGAAGGAAGGAAGGAAGGAAGGAAGGAAGGAAGGAAGGAAGGAAGGAAGGAAGGAGGAGTAGGTTAATGAGATGACTCAGTGGGTAAAGGAGCTTGCTGCCAAACTTGTCAACCTGAGTTCAATCCCCAGGACACACATGGTAGAAGGAGAGAATCCACTCCTACATGTTGTCCTCTGACCTCCACACTCATGCCATGGCACATGTATAAAACACACATATAGACATAAAATAGATAAATGGAAGATAGATAGATAGATAGATAGATAGATAGATAGATAGATAGATGATAGAGAGAGAGATAAATAAATAGATGATAGATGATAGAGATAGATGATTGATAGGTGATAGAGAGATAGATGATAGATGATAGATAGATAGATAGATAGATAGATAATACATACATACATACATACATACATAGATGATAGATGATAGAATAGAGATAGATGATAGATGATAGATAGATAGATAGAGATAGATAGATAGATAGATAGATAGATAGATGATAGATGGATGGGAGATAGAGAGATAGAGAGATAGATTATAGATAGATGATAGATAGATAGCAGATAGATGATAAATAGATAGATAAATGATAGATAGATGATAGATGATAGATAGAGATAAATAGATGATAGATGATAGAGATAGATGATTGATAGATAGATGATAGAGAGATAGATGATAGATGATAGAGAGATAGAGGATAGATGATAGAGAGAGAGAGATGATAGATGATAGATAGATAGATAGATAGATAGATAGATAGATAGATAGATAGATGATAGATAGATGACAGATAGATGGTAGATAAATGATAGATAGAAGATAGATGATAGAAGATAGATAGATGATAGATGATAGATAGATAGATAGATAGATAGATAGATAGATAGATAGATGTAAATTTTTATTTTAAATTCAGACCCTTACGAAACTTAAATTCTGTTTGGGAGAGGAAAGTATGAGAAATAAGTAAAGCTGTGTACATACCTGTGACAACTGAAAGGAAATGCAGAGGAAGGAGATGGGTTGTGGTTCTAGACAGGGTACTTGAGCTGAAGCCTTGCAAGATAAACGCATCATTAGACAGTTTTGCCATTGTATGAACATCATAGAGTGTAGTGACACAAAGCTAAGTGGTGGAGCCACTACACAGAGGTTGCAGTATATATAGCATCGTCTATGTGGTCTACTGTTGGATGAAATAGCATTGTGCAGCATGTGGCTGGATTTGAGTGGAAACCTGAAAGGAGAGGAAGCAAGTCCATGGCTATCTGGCAGGTATGTCTAGTGTAAAAACAGCACATTCGAATGCCCAGGGGCCTGAGCATGCCTGGTACTCCAGTAACAGCATGGAGGCCAGTGAGATACAGAGCAAGAGGTGAAAAGTAGGCAGTAAGAGCAGGGAAGGAAAATGAGAGAGGGAGGGATGGTGGGGTGGGACATTAGAGGTTGTCACAGGGTCCCTCCGGGATGCTCTGTGCAGTTATGCAATGACTAAGGCTCCTGTCCTCATTTATTTTCTGTTGTTACAATGGAATGCCAGATACAGGGTAAAGGGAAGAAGTGCATTCTGACTGATGGTTCTGGAGGTCCAAATGCATATTTCCAGCATCTTCATGACTTCTGGTAAAGCCCTCATGATGGAAAATAGAAGGGCAAGTGGGCATGTAGGGGACAGAAAAGAGGATTGAACTCCTGGGGTAGACTGACCTATTCCCCCCAGAAGAGCATTCATCCATTCCTGAGGGCTCCATCCCTAGGACCCAAACTCCTCCCATCAAACCCCACTCCCTATGCTCTAGCACTGGGGACCAAAATGCAACACCAGTTTTGGTGAGGACAAACCAACTTATATTAGTTACTTTTCTGTTGCTGTGACAAAACACCATGACCAAGGCAACTTACAGAATAAAGAGCTTATTTGGACTTAGAGTTCCAGAGGGATAAGAATCCATCATGGCAGGAAGGCAGGGGGCATTGCAACCTACGGTAACATACTTCCTCCAGTAAGGCCACACCTCCTAAAGATTCCATAACCTCCCCAAATGACACCACCAACTGGGCCCATATAGAAAGTGTTCAAATACTTGAGCCTATGGGAGACATTTCTTTTTTAATTGATTTTTGTGACTTTCATACAATATAATTTGATGGTATTTATATTCCCTCCCCTATCCATACCTTTCCCAAATGCTCTCTGTCCAATTTAAGACTATATATATATATATAAAGACCTATGACCTATAGAGTCTAATTTGTGTTCTCATATGTCCTTCAGTATGGGTCCATCCACTAGTGCCTAGTTAACCTACCAAGAGTCCCATGAAAGAGACCAGCTATCCCCTCCCAGCAGTCATCAGTTGACAAAGTTCCTTAGGTTGGGTTAGGTTTTCTCACCCACTTGGGGGACATTTCTTATACCAAGCATCATACAACTTAAGCCACAGGAATGCCCAAGCAAGGAAATGAGTTGAAACCATTACCACCTGTGTAGGGCTGCCTCCAGCCAAAGCAGGGCTTTAAATTCCACTTTAGGTGACAAGGAAAGTCACTGGAAGGCACCACACCAAAGAATGTGCAACCTGGCTTATAGCTCACCAGGTAGCATTGACCATTGGCATGACTAGCAGTTCTGAGCCCTCTCCTAGCCTGGGTTTTCTAGAAGTTTATCAACTCTTGCATGAGGTTTATGGCCATCTACAAAATTTAGCCTCTGTCATCATTTTAAAAAATGTATAAGTTTTAACACATGCTTCAAAATCACTTCTGTGACAATTCAAAAATAACACAAAAAATGTCTTAGGTATTGTAAGATGGATTATAAAATCACAGAATTTAAACACTAAGAGGGAGCTAAAACTTACATTTCAAATACGGTAAATCCAAGTGTGAGAGGGAGAAGAAAATGCCTTGTCCAAGATCATATATATCATGTAATAAAGAATTATAAAAGGACACCTCAAAATTTGACTAATCTTCAAAAAATCATACCTTGCTGTTTTAAAAAAAAATATTTATTCCAAGAAGGATTTGAGGTGATCAGTTTATGTTACTAGAGCAATAGCAAGTGTAACTTAGAATCTGTGCTATGAAAAGTGCTGCATATGTGAAAATATGGGTGCTTTAAATTGAGATCATAAAAAAAATCTCCCTAACAATCTGGGTGTCACCTCATCTGCTCCCGGATGTGAATTTTTTTCTTCCAGGGAAAAAAACCATTATGTCAAATTTATCTTCCAGTCTGAATAATGATAATAACCTTTATATATGCATGATGCTTTCTGGTTTTTAAACACTTTTCTCTTTATTATCTCATGTGAATTTCAATACCTAAAACTAAGTATTATCTACCTAAAGTGTTTGGAGACTGAGTCCCACAGAACAAAAGAACCTGACTGAGTGGACCCAGTGAGTAGTGAGAACAGACTAGATTCCGGGTCCACTAATCCCCAGCGTATCACACTTGCTACTCTTGTCTTACCTCTCCCCTGCACATGTGGCCATTCTATATTGACCTTCTAAGATAGAGACAAGGAATGCTGGATTGTGGGATCTTATTTTATATTAATCACCTTGAGGAAGTTATACCTTATGAGGAAGGTAACTTCCAGAAAGAAAAAAAACCATAATACATCTGCTAGAATTACAGGCAAGTTCACATTTTCACACCTATTGATGAATGTGATGTGTTGCTATCAGGCAATCCACCCATTTACCGTTTCTGGAAAGACAGTCATCAGCATACAGACAGCTCTGCACCTAACAGTGGCACAGCAGGTATGGTGGAAACCACAGCCTATGCTTTGCTTACCAGCCTGAGCCTGAAGGAAATGAATTATGTCAACCCGATCATCAAATGGCTGGCTGAAGAGCAGAGGTATGGAGGCGGCTTTTATTCCACCCAGGTAATACATCACTGGCTTGTTCCATCCTCCTGTTTCCCACATTATACCTTCCACTCTCATTCTGGCCTCCATGCCTCAGTCAACCAAATGAGCTGCAATAGATACAAATCGATGTCTAGAGTCAAAGGATTTCTGGCAATTATCTGTATGGATAACTTTATTATACAGAGGAGAAAATGAGCCTTCATTTCAGGAAGCCAAATTAGGACTCAGTCTCTTGACTCTATGCCTAGCACGTGCTTCATTATTCTTAAAGACCATGGACGGCTGGTGGGTTATCAGCAGTTATATCATACCCTGTTTAATAGTGGTTGTCATGGAGACAAAGGTAGTGATGTTTCCTCTTCTGAAAAACTAACTGAAACGCTAATTGCTATGTGTTTACCTACCTATCAGTCATGTTTTATGCCATGACTACTGTTAAACAGTAGTATAACATACCGTTGCATACTGCATAATAATGCTTTGGTCAATCACAGACCACACATATAGCAGTAACCCCTAAGATTGTAATAGAGTTGAAGACTTCTTATTGCCTAGTGAATTTATAGCTATCATAATGTTGTAGTGCCACATGTTACATGTTTGTGGTGATGCTAATGTGAACAAAATCATTACACTGTCAACCACATAAAAGAAAGACCCAATTATGCACAGTCCATAATATTTGATACTAATTACAGTCAACTAGGTTACTGGTTTGTGTGCTTATTTGTGGTGAGGTGGGGAGGTCTGGCAACTGAATGCAGGAATTTACAGGAACTAAACACATGCTCTACATAGAACTGCCTTCCTCCCCCTATAATATACTTTTTTATTATTATTTGAGAATATAGTCATTCTACCTATATAAAGAATCTTCATTGAGAATAGCATGAAATGTTTCACAAGGAATACACTCAGGTCTCATGTTCACTGTGTCTCTTGATTGTTATTGAACCATATTATCCAGGTGCATGTGAGTACTCAGTGATGTTTGCACAATGGTGAAATTGCCTAACAGTTCACTCAGAGCATACTATCACGAAATAGTACATGACTGTGCATCTTCATTTAAAGTTGAGCTCAAGTGTTAACATCTTTGTCCTCTGGATGTACCTCTAATATTTATACATATACACATACTTATATATAAATATATATTTGTTTATATTTATCTTATGTATATTGGAGTCCCTCCAAATAAAGTTAGCAATCATTTAATGGGTTTCATTGTGAAGACAACTGGAGGCTTATCAGGAAAATATGCCCTATTGATTAGCATTGCTGTCATGGACACAGGCAGAGGAAATAGCCAGATAGTCACCATCTTGGATCCTATCGCAGGTCCCCATTTTATAGAGGAGGAAGATGAGGAAGATCCAGAATGGTACAGTTCACTTATTTATTCCTTCCTCAAATACTTTGTGAATACCAACCACATGTTCCTACTAAATGCAATAGAGAGTGTCTCAGTCATGACTTTGCTGCTGTAGCAGAATGCCACGGACTAAGCACTTTATGACAAACAGAAGTTTATTAGCTCAAAACTCTGGAAGCTGGAAAGACCAAGATTGAGGGGCCATAATCTGACAAGGACATTTTTTCTACGCTATCCCATGATGGAAGGACATAGAAAAGAACAGAGAGAAGAGAGAGACAGAGATCAGCCCTTTTATAAGGAACCTATTCCCACAGCAGTGGCATTAATCCACTTGTGAGAGTGGTACCACCAAGATCCCACATCTCACATCAGTTCTGCCCCCCACCCCAGCATTCCCGCATTGGGCATTAAGTTTCTAACACATGAACTTCTAGAAACACAACTCTAGCAAATGCCAAGGAAGATATACTTGCCTGCATGCTCCATGAATCTTACATTACAGTGAGGGAGGCCAGCACTCAACTAGCTAGAAATAAAAGTGTTAGAAGTTGAGATGGATACTCTAAAGGGCAGAAAATGAAACTTAAAACAGAGACTTTCAAGAAGGGAGTTTGTGGCCTCGCTGTGGGGTATTTAAACTGAGACCAAAGGGTGAGAAAAAAATAATCCTGCAGAATCAGAGGCATTTTGTAGAATGACTTGCCTCATTACATGTGCAGAATATGCAGGGGACCCAGACCCAGGCCACACTTCCTTTCTGTCCACACTTCCTTCCTGTTCCTGTTAACAACAATGTCCTTAGTAAGAAGGGAGTGACCATCCTTAGTAAGGAGGGAGTGACCGTCCTTAAACCTCAGCAATGGGTCTCTTAACCTGTTTCACTCAGTCAACTAGAGTTTTGTCTCCAGACAGTGCTGCCTACCCTCTCATAAGAAGGGACTTTGTAGAGCTGGGTGTGGTGGTGCATAGCATCTGGGAGGCTGAGGCGAGAAGATTTCGAGTTCCAGGCTACACATTGGAATTCTATTCTAAAACAAATTTTTTTCTTAATAAAACAGTGGATCTGTATGTAAACTTGGTGTGTATGAATAAACTAAGCATGCTTTTGTGCCTTGCTGATTGTTGCTAGGATACAATTAATGCCATCGAGGGCCTAACAGAATATTCACTCCTGGTTAAACAACTTCATCTGAATATGGATATCAATGTCTCCTACAAGCATAAAGGTGACTTCTACCAGTATAAGGTGACAGAGAAGAACTTCCTTGGGAGGCCAGTAGAGGTAAATGAAGAGTTTTCATATTTTGCAGTTGTAGTAGATCATTAAAGTCATCTCTCCCATCCTTATTGTATAAATGCATTTATTCACTACTTAAACATTCATGGAGAACCTACTGACTCCTAATCAGGGGTGTCTATTATATCCTGGGCACCAGAGATTCAAAAGACAAATATAAAGAACCTGTGTCTTAGAGACAGTCATTTAAACAGACATGATAAGGAAGAGTCCTGATACACACATGGAAGCATGGAGGGGAGCCTCCTGATCCAGGCTGGCAAGTGTCCTCATGTAGGAGAGAGAGCTAATACATCCGCATGTGTATGCCAACTCTGGAAGAATCAGGAGATGGCCAGCTGGAGAGAAAGGAAGAATATCTGTCATAGGTAACAGCACACACAAAGATACCATTGTAGAGTACACAAAAAGACCTATTTGAGAGTCTGCTGCTGATTCCTTTGGATCTTGGTCTTATATTCAGACTACAGTCAGAGTCAGCTTGGAAGTGACCTTTAGATCTCTAGATGCCCTGCGTCATGTCTTTTGCCGTGGCTAAATTTCTTAAAGGGAAAGCTTTGATGGGTGTTGAAAATTTTCCCAAAGTAAGGGACACATCAGGCAAAGTAGATTCCCTGTTGTCGTTGGCTGCTTGTACAGACAGGCTGATGCACACTTTTCTACTTCGCATGTGTGAATGTGGTATGCTTAATATAATGAATAGGATGGCCCTCCCTGTCTGCATGCTCAAACAAATCCATGCTTGTGAAAAGTAAACAGAGACGAGGAATAAACTTAGCGTAGAAATTGTAATCCAGTGGTTCATAACAACAAAAATAAAGGATAGAGCCATAGACAAAGATCTATGCCAACAATTAATGATCCAAAAATTTCAAGTACAAAACTGTTTCCTAACTTTCTTTGTAAAAACAAGATCTGGCAATGGGGCCCCAGGCACTGGGCATGCCTTTTTTCAACCTCCACTAGTCACGTGGCATATGCATATGCATTTATGTCCATATTCACTCACCCCTCAGGCCTCTGAAGGCATTTGTGCTATAATCTGTAGGTTGGGAATGTAGGTCTTGTCCCAGAGAGCATTTAGTAGTCACCAGAGAGTCCTAGTGAGGAGCTATAGGCCTGAGCAGCATAGTAAGCCTGTGTCCTAGTGTCACTCCTGTTGTACTGACAAAGTACCCTGACCAAAGCAACTTGGGGGACAGGAGTTTATTTTAGCTCAGAATTCCAGGTTCTGGGAGTCCGTCACTGCAGGGAAGTCAAGGTGGCAGCAGTCACATCACATCTACAGTCAAGAGCAGAGAGAGAATGAGCATGCGCCTGCTTGTGCTCAGCTCACCTTCTCCTCTTTTACACGGTCCAGGACCCAAACCCAAGGAATACTGCGGCCCACGACGGGTAGGTCTTCCCACATCAATTAATCAAGACACTCACTCACAAACAAGCCTACAGACCAATCCAGTCTAGACAATCCCCCACTGAGACTCTCTTCCCAAGTGTAAAGGAACTCTTGTCATCTTAAAACAACTCAAACCTCAACATGGATGCTGCTTCCATGCGAAACTTGGGCTTCAGCTTTTCCTCTATACCAGCTTTTCCTAAAATGTGTCCTGTGAAGGAATGGTAGGTTGTTGAATAAGCATGGAAACTCTAGTTTAAATGAAATTAACCCTGTTATTTAATATGTACATGACTGAGTATGGTGACTCCAGGAGGGAGAGTGCAGAGATGGGACACAGTACACAGCATTTCCCAGCCTTCTTTTTCTTTGGAACCTTTCCCACTCAGTATCTCAAAGCACCTGTCACTAGTAACTGCTGCTATATTCTGTCAGAGAATCTAGGAAAGTGGCCTGTGTTCTGGAGTTTACTAAAATTTGAAGGAAGGATTCCCAAGCTTGACTGCACACCAAGCTTCTTTTGTATCAGCGTGCTAAGCAAAGTGAGGGAAAGCTGCAGGCTGGGAGTGAAGGGGGACCTGAGTCTTCAGGGTCCTGCTCAAAATACTCTATTCCATAATGTCCACAAATTAGGGAGTATGTGTGGATGGTCGAGCACCTCTAGAGAGGAGAGGTGTTTACCTCAGCTCATGTCTTCACTTTCCTCTCAGAGTGGGAGAAAGAACAGCAAGGATGGATTTAGTAGGCTTGAATGGGGTAGCCAGGGGTTAGGGTAGGGTTCCAAGGATTTGGGGTATGGTACCTGGGGTTTCAACAAGCAAAAGCTAGTAACAAGGGGGGAAGATAAGTCATCAGGAGTGGAAGAGAGGTGCAAAGGGGAAGGGGGTAGAGGGCCAAAGATGTTTTGCACCCACTTCAGAATCCTGTGTCGTAGTGCTAATGGAAACAATCTCCATTGACCCACAAGATGCTGGTTTCTAAGCTAGACACCAAAAGAAATGTGTTCAGTTGGAAAATATGAAAAAAATACATATGTACACACATACACATACAGAGAAAGAGAGAGAGAGAGAGAGAGAGAGAGAGAGAGAGAGAGAGAGAGATGCAACCCAAAGGACCTCTGTTGATTTTGTTGGCTGGCTCAGGGGATCCCAGGCATCTTGTTTACATGTGGAAGGAAGGGTGGGGAGTTCCAGGGTATCCCAGGCATCTTGTTTGCATGTAGAAGGGAGAGGTGGGGAGTTCCAGCATCTCTCAGTGCCTATCACAGGCATAGGCTCTTCAACTGCATCCATTTAATTTCATATGAACTAAGAAGGGAGACTGCCAGGCATCTGCTCCCTCTTTCCCTCACTCTGTTCCCCCTCTCTATTGAATGATGAATGAAAGCATGTTTTCTCTGTCTATCCTTCCAGGTGCCTCTCAATGATGACCTCGTCATCACAACAGGCTATAGCAGCGGCTTGGCAACAGTACATGTGAGTATTTAACAGGAATACACCAAAGGGAGCTATGTGTCTATTTTACTAGGTAGCATAAAGAATAAGGACTTTGGCACAAAATCACAGAAGTATGGATCATCAGGCATAAGGGAGGATTCATTTATCTAATTCTTTCTAGCTGTCTTGACCATGCTCACAATTTTTTTTACAATCACCATTAATCCTTGCATATATACCCTCTTTACATTGTAGAAAATTTATGTATATTACATATAGTCATGCACTGCATAGTGGCATTTCTGTCAACAATAGGTCCCATGTAGGATGATTGCCTCACAAAACTAAAACACCTAGTGATGCCATAGCTGTCTTAGTTTGCATAAGTATACCCTGTGATCGTGCACAATGACAAAGTTGTACACAGTACATGACTGTATGTGGATTCATAGTTTATGAGCATAAGCAGAAGTATAAGCAACCTATAGGTGAAAGCATTTGTTTTGGTTAGCAGTTTCAGAGGGATAAGGGTCCGTCAAGGTGGGAGGCATCGGGGCAAGCCACAGGAACAGGAAGCTGAGAGATCACATCTCAACCACAAACTGGAAGCAGAGGAAGGAAACTAGAAGCAGGGCAAGATTATGAACTCTGAAAGCCCATCCCTGATGACATACTTCCTCTAGGAAGGCTCCACATCCTAAAAATTCCAGAACCTCCCCAAACACTGCCACCAACCAGGGACCAAGTATTCAAATACACGAGCCTTGGAGGGATACTTCCTATTCAAACCACCACAGTATTCATGTGGCGTTCATATACATGTGAACATATGTGAGTAGGTATCTGGGCTTGTATGGCTCATAACATAGTCGTATCTCATTTACATAGCATCTTTGAGGATTGATGTACTAATAAATCAAAGCTTAAGTTTCTTTTCACTTTAGCCACTTGGTAGTTGGGTTTTCCAAGCTTTTTGTATATGTCCATGCAGTCTTAAATTGCACATTCCAGGCAGAAACTAGCATTCTGTTGATGCTTTTTACTAGGCTCAACTTTAGCGCATTTCTTTTTTCACGGACTGTTTATAAGATGGCAGAGAGGAAGTAGGTTGTCCATTTCTCCCTCAGTTCTGGATGTTTATAATATACCTATTGAGAACACCCTCACCCATACAAACACACCTGGAATGTTTTGTTTTCCTTAATGGTGTGTTGGTTGGGAGAACCCAACACTTCCTAGTCTAATCACATTGTACATAATGTTAAAGTGTACATATAGACTCGGAGACAAGAACCTTGAGAGCTACCCTGTAGAATAAGGTGCTCATATCTGACCATATTGGATTTGGACCTAGATTCTGCATGGCCAAAAGTCATTGTTTTGCTTACTCTGGGCTTTTCTTCTGTGTTTCGCAATGTGGAGTTCGCTGAGTCATCCATGGACACCGTTTGGACTAGACACGGGAAGTGACCCTTCACCTCATCTGTAACAGCAGCATCACCATGAAGTCCTTCTCATTTTCCCATGTTAAATGGAATCTTTTTTCCATGTCCCAATTTAGGTGAAAACTGTGGTTCACAAAACTAGTACTGCTGAGGAAATTTGCAGCTTTTATTTGAAAATTGATACCCAAGACATTGAAGGTAAGATGGCCTAATTTACACTGGAATTTAGCTATGCTGCAAGAATGTCAGATAGTTTCCCTGATTAGGAAACAGCACTTGCTCAAACAATAACATTTCTTAATATAGTTCTTAAGCAAGTTGACATCCAAGTAAACATTACTACCATTTCTTATAACGGCTGTAATTTTTATAATGAACAGGAACTAATATCAAAATGATTTAATAACTAAACTAAACGTATTCAATATTAATGAAGATGTTGTTTTACTTATGATACCTTTAAAGAACTTAACTAGTTGTAAAGCCACAGACAGGACGAATTCCTTTGAGTTTCTATCTTTTTATGTAAGGGTTCATTCCCAGGACACCACCTTCTCCAGGGTTTTTATAACCCTGTTTGCTCTCCCTCCCACGCCTGTCTTTGCTTTCTCTAGTATTTATAGTGCGCTGTATTTTTTATGCACCTCTCTTTTTTTTTTTTTTTTTCAAACGTGACTTTCCCAAGTCTCTGCTGGGTGATTCCCATTTCCATGTCCAAACTCAGCTTCACTTGCATGCTCCTGTCTTTCTCCTCCGACCTTGGCTCCAGGGTTGTGGGGTCTCTCCCTTTCCTCATGGGTCGTTGGCCACCAGTCCACAAGGACAAAGGGAGCAGAAGCAATGAACGGGGTCAGGGACGGTCAGTGAGCACTGACAGAAGAAAGCCCTTCCGGGGAGGCAGGTTCAGTGATACAAACAGCTCCAGACTCAGTGAAACAGCTCCATTTATTCAGTGGGGGTTAGGGAAAATATAGTGTGGAGGCAGTAGCCAATGCCTCAGCTGATAGGTGCTCATAGTATGCTTTATTTACATGTGGCTAATTATCATATAGATAGAAAAAACCTGGGGGTAGTTTTTACTCCGGGTAACTATGCCAAAGGTCATGTTTTAAATGAGGCCAAGCACCGGTGCTTGGCAGCACTTTCCAGGTAAGTCAGGCAGGAAGCCCCTGCTGAGAAAGGAGCCAACCTTAACAGCAGGGTTCCCCAACACAGGGTCATGATACATGCTGACATCATCCATGTGTATGACTCAGACGTGTTCCTATAGAAAGCCTCCTACCACCAGCAAATCCAGTTATCTCCTCTTCCTCTTTCCAAATCCCCCAACACACTGCCAAAAGTTCTTATCTTCCTCAAGTGATAAGCACAACTTAAGTTATGCTTCTCCAATCATGGAGACTTCTTGTCCATAACCATGAATTACCATTAAAATCACCACGAGGTCAAATCATTTGTAAGGGTGTTCAGAGACTTTCTCAATGATTTGGATCCACATGTTCCAAATCAACTAAAAGCACTTTATTTTGTATTTTCTAATTTATTTGCTTATTTCTTTGTGTGCTAGCATCCAGCTACAGTGGTGACTCCGGATATAAGCGCATCGTAGCATGTGCCAGGTGAGCCCATTTCCACAAAGCAAGGGTTTTAGGGTCTTATTTTTGCTGTGATACTTTAATATCTTTTTTAAGGTTTTATTTACTTTTATTTGTCTGAATGTTTGCCTGCATGTATGTAAGTGCACCACATGTGTGCCTGAAAGAAGCCAGAAAGGGTGTCAGATCCCATGGAACTGGAATTAAAGACAGGTGTCAGCCACCATGTAGGTGCTGAGAACTGAATCCAGGTCTTCTGTAGAAAGTACTCTTAACCACTCTTAGCCACTGAGCCACTTCTCAAGCTCCTACTTTAATATCTTTCTAAATCTTAACATGTCCAGAAGATGCAGAGCTTTCATTTTTTTAATGCAGAATACAGCAAGTACTCTTCAGTAGTGACTTGCTACAAGAACAGCTTTGATTTTGCTCATATCTTGTTTTCTCTCCTGTTTTTGTCTTCCTCTGACTCAAATAGTATAGTGACCTTTTTAGGTATTTGTATTAGTTACTTTTCTGTTGCTGTGATAGAAACACTGACCCAAGCAACTTATAGAAGGAAGAGTTTATTTGAGCTTACAGTTCCAGGGGAATTACAGTCCATAATGGCAGGGAGGCATGGTGGCTGGAGGTGGCTGGAGCAGGAGCAGCAGAAGC